TAAATCTAGTTTTTGATGGGCTTTAACCTGGTATAAATACTTTCTGATATTATCTGTCCTTTAGGTCGTGGAGGGGGGGAGAAAAAGGTTATGTAACACCCTGTAATATCACCAAAACGAACAAGTGTTGGAGAGGATAGAAAATTCGCTTTCTTACGTTAGTAGCGTTTCTTGAGCTAGGCAGAATGCGAATTTTATCGTGTTTTACCTGATTTTCTCTTCGGGAACACGATGCAATTCATCTCAAGCTCAGTTAAAAGTTAAGTTTAAAATTAGTGCATAGGCAATCTTATTTACACACTTCTCAATTCTCTCTTTCAATTACTGTGCACTTATTCCGAAGTTATCAAAATTCAACTTATTCAGGTTTTTGTAACTTATCACTTTTCTACAGGCACAATATGTCTGTTTGTTTACTGTCACGTACTTTTATATTTCCCAGTAGAAGAAAGCGCGATGAATTTAATGACAAAAAAGCTAATTAACTATCTGTAATGAACAAGTCATCTCGGTATATTGAATGGAAATGTGCCTGTTGGAATTAGTGGGGTGTTCACTAACAGAGGTTTTACAGTACTCAGAAGTCGGTCAACTGTAAAGCAGTGGTGGATCCAGAATTACTTTTTGGTACGTGCGGTATACGATAACAGTGGGAGATACGTGTTTTGTGATAGAAATCAATTACTCTAAGAGAGATCTGCTAGGAAAAAAGAGTTTTTTGGCTAAAAGGTTACGAGCGACCGCTCGTACCGCTCGCGGGCTGAATCCGCCACTGCTGTAAAGAGTATAATAGCACTTCTTGGATACAACCCCCTGAGCTATCATACTTACTTAATGATCGATTTCGTCCTCTTTTTTCTAGAAAGTAATTGCTTCAGAAAGACAAAAAACACTCTGAACTTACTTAGTATAAAGGATGGGGCGATTATTTGATGGAATCGTCCCCTGCTTGAATTCCATCGACACATACATAGTTAGATGCAGAATGAACCGGAGAACATTTGTAGCCACTCGGCAGACCTAAGAGTTGCTCTCAGAAAAAACTAGGTCGAATTTACTATAATCAAAGTTCTGCTCTTCTTTGTTCAACAGTGACGATCCTGTGGTCCACACTTATCCACTAGCCACGACGATACATATACCATTCGATAGAGACTTTCTCGTGCTACGATTTCCTGTATATAAAATGGTGACAAAAGTGTCCTAGAGCACCTTGACATTAGAAATACTTTCCGCAAAGCCGTAAAAAGTGAGTCACATATTCCACGATCAGGATCCTATGATCAACGTTTCTCAACTAGCCACTACGATAGATGTACCATTCAATAGAGAATTGCACGAGCTTTAAAATGTGCTATAAATAAGTCTTTCAGAAATATGCCCACATGGGTCAATAGTTGAAATATTTGGCCGATATAATGGTTTTGACCTATCTTAGTGCTCTCAACACTCCATTAGTCGTTTTTCTCCCATAATTAAAATTATGTACTGCTCCAAATAATACTGCTGGATAGCCCTTGAAATTCTCTACAAAGTGAGCTGGTCACAATATCCAGACAGGCGGGGCCAGTCATAAAAGATGTGAGGGAGAAGTTTTTGGGTGTTATCCAAGCACTATAGTATGTCATAATCACAAGAACTCTCTTGTTTTTGACCTTTTGGTAGCTGGAACCAATCTGAATAATATTTTGATTAGCTCGAAGATTTTTCTATCAGATTCTGACTATAATTCTTTGCTCTGTTTCTTGATCAACCTCATTAAGAATTTTTTTCTTAACAGCCAAACCCAGATATTTATGTAAATCTTTCTTCATCCAACTATAATATAGTGGTTTGGACTGAAGCACCACTGAGTCTGTCCATTCTAAATTTTTTTCACATCTAACCTTTCTCTAAAATGTCAGTAAATCTGACTAGTCTATTTACTTTAACGTTTCAAAAAAAATATGACTTTTCTCGAACTGTAGAAAAAAGGATAAAAGAAATTCTCCTTTAGTCAGATATGAAACCAACTATAGTCAGTCTATTTTGGCAATTGACGAAACTTTTTTTTCCATTGGCCATACATAATTGAGAAAAAACAGAAAGAGAGAGAGAGGGAAAAAGTTAAATTGTATATAAAGTTTGCGTTGATGGTCAGTTTAGTTCACGTTTCAAAATCTTCACACCACAACAATGTCATCGCCATGCTTGTTGCCACTTATTTTATTTATGTTAACAAATTTCATTTTTATTCATCATGTTGAAAACAAACAAGTAACAACGGAAAAACTTGTGCAAAACCAAGCTATCATTATAATAAATACAACTTATTCAAATCAAAAAGGTAAAAATTAACTGGCTGTGTATGTGCAGTTCGAAGGAAAATACAAGACTGAAATTATCGAATATTCGATTGACTTTCTTAAAAAAACTGTTAAAGAACTTAAAGTGTGGCAGTTAAGATTGACGTGATCAAAATAGTTTACCAATACAGTCTTTTGATTGGGAAATTTGTTTCGAAATCGGTTCAGTTTACGTCAAAGACTATCTATTATTATAGAGCAACAATTTTATTTTTTTTACCGAGTGCGTTCAATAGACAATAGCTCTAGTCAGATCAGCCCCTTTCTTCCATCTCTTGGGGTGCAAAGACTCAGTCAGAGAGCTATTGCCCAGTCAGTCATAGTCATTCCAGAAAAGTGCAGGAAACTCTGTTTATGAAAAGTTTTACGCGTTTAGCGAGTTTCGAATAATAACGCGCAAGAAGTTGCGAGTGTGTAAAAATAAAGTGCAGGAACACACATGTAAAGCCTTTGTTTCCACGGCAACGTGCATTTCCTGCGTTTTATTTTTACACACTCGCAGCTTCTTGCACGTTATTATTCGAAACTTGCTAAACGCGTAAAATTTTTCATAAACAGTTTTCTGCGCTTTTCTGGAATGACTATGATTGACTGGGTAGGTCTGAATTTAGACATCATTTATTCAGACAATATTTAGCCGTTAGGAAGCTTTTTCACTGTTAAACAGAAGATTTTTTAGGAAGTCTGAGAGTAAAAAATGTCTGGAAATCAAATAGTTACATCTCTTCATTTCTCTACGAGCAATGTTTATCTTTGTTTTCTCAGTAGATTATTTTGACAAACGTTTTTAGGCTTGACACCTGCCACAATGGCTATAGAAACAATCTGAAGTAGTCTTTGTCAACGTAAATAAAATGGGAATGATCCGTCACTTTTTCTGAACGTGGTACCAGTGAACGGAAGAGCGAAAGTTTCGAGCAGATTTTTACAATATTGAGATTCCTGCAGTTCATCGACATAATATGCGATTTCATCTCATTTCACAACGTGGATTTCCTTTGAACAAACCAGATCGGTGATCTGTGGTTGTTCTTCGGACATAGAACATGAGTAAAAGAGGAACGTTTTCTTAAGCTACTCTCATATTCTCAGTATGAATGGCTCGTAGCTCAGAGTGTTCTGTGATTAAAGGCGTTGGACATAAAAAGAATTGTTAATCTCTTTTTATTTCAAGTTGCTGCTATTGAAAAAACAAAAGATGGTAACTTATTTGGTGTATCTGCTGCAAAAGGAAATTTCAAGATCATGGAATTTGTTGATGCCCGAGCTCTCAATAGTAGTACTACTTCAACTTCATCATTATGGCATCCAACTGAATTTCAATTTCAATCGTCATATAAAAAGCAACTTTTTGACGATGATGGTGAACTTATTCCACGAGTAACTGATCATATACAATGGATGCAAGTAAAATATTTTGATACCGTAAGCGAAAAACAAAAAACCATTGTCCATGGTCGTGAACCACCAATAACACATAGACTGATATCGGACAAATTTCAACTTAATCAAACTGAACGAATAAAAAAGGTTTGGATTTGTGAAGCTGTATCAAAAAATAATTTAATTTATGGGATTAAATTTGAAACAAATTTAAATAAAAAATTTGAATTTTCATCATATGGATGTAAATGGAGACGTCAAAAATTAAATGTAACCTATTTACACGATGAAGATCAATATGTAATTAAATCTGAAGACTATTTAAAATATGATATGTCAACAATCAGTGGTGATACCTCAAGAACAACTCGTGAATTATTTTCGTTAAAATTTCATTGGCATATTGAACATGTTAAATATATTCTAACAAATGTTAAATATCAGTATCCATCAAAAAATTTACATACGGCTAAACCAACAACAGTTTTAAAAACAATACTGACAAATCAACAGAAAAAAACGGAAAAAATACAACAAACAGCACAACAAACATTGACACATAAACAAATATGGTCGTTAGGAGACGAAAAAGAATTCAAGGTAAGAACTAGTTTAGAACACTTACCATTCAGTACGAGTTTTAGTCGATTTATCTAAATTTTATTGTTTTTCTATATAGTAGAGTCATTACAATATTGAGTAATTAGTAACCGTACATTGTAGTACCCGACGGTAGTGTCGTCGCAAACTTGTTTTAATCTGTTTTTATGCGAAAGTTGCAGATAAAACAGCGAAGATCTTATACTTCTTGACTATAAGGTTATTGTAATCATGAAGGTTAGGCAGCATGACTCTCTCTTCCACTGTTAACTTCGTAATTGATGAGTCAAAAAAGAAATGTACTATCAGTTTACTTTTCCAGTAGACACTCCTGAACACTACATTAAGATTTTTTTGAATCTGCGTGTGAAAACACCAATTCATTTCGTGCGATCACTCGTCGTTTTTACATATTAGAAAAAAAGTAAAAACAAAAACGGTTCGGCAATTATTTTAAGAAGTAATAGATCGATGTTGGACTCCCACTAGCCTCAATATTCTTCAGTTGAAGAGATTGTACCCGTGTTTTCGATTGCGGTAAACTTGCATCGCATTTTGTCGCACAATGCGGATAAATTGCGCACAGTTGTGCGTAATTGCGGCCTTGCGATCGCAACTGCAGCGAAATTATTAAAAAAGTAACGATATGAGTACAAACCAGTATTGTTGAATGAATTAATTATTTTTATATTTATTTCAGAGTGGTGTTCCACTTACTGTTAAAGCTAGTAATCCAGAAATACTTGAATTTGGCGCTGTTCAAGATCGAAAGGAAATAATCAGTGAAACAATAAATGACGCTGAAGCAGAAATAACACGTGAAATGTCAATGAAATATGAAGCAGAGGTACCAGCACAATCAACTAAGGAAGTATATATGGAAATGCCAATTGCCACAATTGATTTACCCTTTACAGCCGATGTAACAATTGTCTATGGTGATGGGTCAACTTCACAATCAAAAGTCACCAACGGAAGATTAAAAGATGTTTTATATGGTCAACTGAATGTTCATTATGGTGATGCACAACAATCAAGCTCACGTAAGCAAAAGACTGATGTCATGTCCGAACATTTCAATTTTAACTAATTTCGGTCGCAGAGAATGTCTATTGGAGTCAAGCAAGGATTTAGTTGCCAAAACTTCTATGGCCAGACCTTCAACAGAGTTCTTGCTTTTCACTGAGACTTTTGTCCTAATTTTTTTGTTCCCAAGTCGCTTTGTAGCTGTGAAACAACAAAAAGCCGACTAGTGTTAAGGGTGAACTGGTCTGCTAACAAATTTCCTCATTCACATCCAAAAGCGACATTTGTACTTAGTTCTTCAACGAATCACAAGTACGAATCGTTCTACACTTTCGACCTCATGCTAATACAGTCAGGCTGAGTCATTCATACGGCTAAAGTTTCTCTTATTTCATATATGAGCTAAGAAAACAAAAACCAAAGTCAACGTAATGGAAACTACTGAAAAGATGAATGACAATTTCTGTTTATCGCTGAGAAAATATCATGGTGAAGAAAGTAACCATGTAATGAAACGCTTTTGTTATTGTCCGGAAGACATACTTTCAAAATCTCTCAGATCTTGATTTTCTTTCGCTTAGCTTGATTCGATCTGTTCGGGCCATTTTTGGTTTTTAAATTCAAAGTATTTACATTTTATTTCTTTTTTTGTATGTCTAGATCCATCAGATTCATCAACAAAATGTTTAGGGACAATAATTAGGAATAAAGGAATAATGGGTTATAATATTGCTAATATGCCAAATCGACAAATTCAGACACCATCAGAATGTTGTATTCTATGTCAAAATACTAATAAATGTTTAAGTTGGTTATTTCTTCCAAAATGCGAAAAAGTTGATGAATGCAAAGATGCAAAAGTTCTGAAATATCGAAACGATCATTACGGATGTTATCTCAAAACGGAGAAGAAAACTGAACCATATGTATTTCAAGAAGCATACAGTGTTTCAAGTGGTTATATTTAATAATCTACGTGAATTTTGAAATGTGAATTTATTGAACTATATTAGATTCTTGTGGAGAAAATGTGTTAGTGCTCTAGTTCTCAATACTTATATTCTTAATTTATATTCTGTAATTAATAAATAAAAAGAAAGATGTCAAATGATTGGTCGGCATTCGAATGATTCAGATGATAAAGACACGTTGAGTTGAATCACCAAAACATGAAAAGAAAAAGCATACCAAGTGCAATACTTGCTCAACCTAGAGAAAAATCGATAGAAAAAGGACAACGAATTGTTCTTGTTTAACAGCAGAACTGTTTGATTAAAGATGATAATACGACGGAAAACAACTACTGCATTTTTGTCTAGCGAACCGATAAAATGAATTTGCTATACAGTCAGATTGATACAATTAAAATGCTAATTCTTCTAAGTATTTTAATATTAAATTCCATGTACAATAATACGTAGCTGTCTATTTTTCCAAAAAACAGGTCAGAGATATTAGAGATTATGTCTCCTTTAACAGAACAATATTCTAAAGTTGTCAATATTAAAACGTTTTTTAAAATAAACGAGGATGCCTCATGGGAAAGCAGATTAAAAACTATTCCGCTCGTATACGAATAGGAAAAGTTTTCGACCAGTGGGAGCAAGTGTCGGTCAACCATCAGGGACATTGGTCTGATAAAACCCTAGACTTTCAGTCAAAGAAATATAAAAAATTAAATATGAAATTATTTTAATGTTTTGAGAGATGCTCCAAAATGCACTCATTATTTTACGATTTTTATTCTTCGTGTACATATTTTCATAAAAATGATAGCAGATTCGTAATCTACATCAAAAACTGAATCTTTACACATGTCATTTGTATATTTTTGACGAAGAAAAGCTTTTTCTAAATGATTGTAAATGATCATTTACAAGGGGTATGGTAGTTCTTTTATAGTCCCGATATTATAAAATCTGTGGCATTTTTATGCCCAAACCGGCTCGTATATTGCAATTTTTGCTTTTTTAATTACATTTTTTAGCAAAAATAATATTAAAATCGCGATTTTCGTCAAAAACTGCGTGGACTTATATAAATCGACATATTTCAGTTCAAAAAAAGTTTTTAAAACTTTTTTGTCTGGGTACCTTCCAGAACTTTTTTCAAAAAACTTTTTTTCATCAAAAAATCTACAAATGACATGTCTACGTAAGATCGATTTTACAAAACCATGTAAAACCATATGAAATCTTGATATACGATTACTCGTCCTGGGTTATATTATATCTGTATTATTTGTCTTATCCTAGTGATGTCATTGGATTCGACTATGCTAATGATTATCTTTGTTTAAGATATTTCGCTTCTTTCGTATGTATAGGTTTAATTACCTTATTGTATAACAAATTATTTATTATAAGCGACGAAACTTTTAAACAAGTAACGTGTATAATTCTATAACATATCTTATGAGTGAACCAAAATGTTTTCAAACCTCATATCAGAAAGTTTAATGTTAGGGTTAACGAGGTCCATTGACCGTGAGGAAGAACTAAGCTGTCCGTCAGGCCGACTGAAAGGCAGAACGACGTGCTACCTTTCTTCTATAACTCACTATGCTAAAGCGCACAAAAACATTATCAGTGGAACGATTTTTCAAAATTTTCCCGCAAACTGACCTCCCCCTGCGATGAGAAGCTAGATTCAGAAAGCTAACGGACGCTCTGCGCATATGTCTACATTTTCACCGATTAGTTTGTGGTAGTGTCATTCTGTTCAGCTAATTTGAGCGGCAACCTCCAAACCAGCCCTGCATGATGAATAAATGCTATTTGTAAATCGAATATAGAACTGCTATCGTTACTGCTAATAGCAGTTCTATATTCGATTTACAAATACTTATTTCCAACTGCTCTATCAACAAATTTCATGAATAAATGCTACTTATCTCATCCTACTTACACTCAAAGAGACTAAAAAAAAACACAAATCCACAGCCCTTAAAATTCTAAAGAGAAGTAGCGTTCGTTCATCATGTAGAGATTGCCGATGGATATGGTATTGCCGAGAAATTATCGGGATTCTAGTGAACAAATGTATCTGATTTCATCTGCGATTAAATACTGTTGTGTTTTTTCGTTGATAGGAAGGTCATTTTTACTCGAAAAGAGAGTGAGCCGATTTCTAACTTTATACGGTTCCGTCCTTTTAGGTTTTTAAAGTGCTAAAAGATTTCGAAATTTAAATTTTTACGTTTGAATCGCGAAGTATTTTTGAACACAAACTACATCATTCAATGCAGTTTTTAATGTTCTTTCAAATGAGATGTTACTCGAAGCCTTTGGATGTAATTTGACTTCAAAAACTAAAAAGAACTATAGTTGGCGCTTTTTCGGAACATCTTAGTGCTCGAAAATTCTTAGCTTCAGATGAAGATGAGTGATCCCTTCTGGATAACAGTAATGAATTTTTAGAAACAACGAAAATTAGAACAATGAATTTTTGCTATATGGACGATTAAACAGATCAAGAAGACGAAATAAACAAAGAAGATGCGATATAAGCCTGATGGCTAATAAGAAAAGACTACAACAGTTTGTGTGAACCGTCTGCTTTAAAATTATCAATTGGTCAACGATAAAAAAAAACAGTCTATACATGTGTGTGTAAGACGAAGAGAAAAAGAAACACATTCTACTCTCTTACTATTTTTTCTTTTCTAATACCCTATAAAAAGAACCATTTCACGTTACATTTTTAATCGTACACACATTTTGAAAAGTGTGTGTTGTTAATTTGACAAAAATCTATCAAAAGAACTTTTAAAATGGTAAGTCTCTTCTGTGTTACTGTTACTGCTCGTTGTTCTTTCCGCAGATGGATGTTCTAGAAACACTTAATTGATTTCTCTTTTTCGTGTTCATTGTTGAAAATTTTTCTGATCTCGTCTTATACACGCACACACATGAAATTAAAGTAAAAGTAAGTGTATTCAAGAAAGTATAAAAGTGTGTACCTTTTGATATATAGTAAGTATCCATACTGGTTGAGAAAGTATAGTTGTGGTGTTTCTATAGCAGATTAATACATTCCATGAATAACGGGACACTTCTGCAAAGTATGTTTTTTTCAATCACTGGTTAAATTTTTTAAAATAAGCTGTTATGATAGCGAATTTAGTTCTAATAGCATTTTGCTTTTGCTTTCAACAGCACTCAAAATACACAGCAGTGCCGTGTTTTCGCCGTCTTCTTTTCGTTTCATTTGCAAGATCTTTAACCCATTCCTCGGAACGGACATGGTTAAAATTTTACGTATAAAGTTATAGAATTTTGCGCTCTATCGATCTCATTCATTCTTAGCTTCGACAGTGTTTCGTATAAGTCACTTCGACTCATAATTTGTACGTATCCGGTTTTTTCTAATAAGAAATTAGTTTTTAATTATTTAGTTGAACAACTTTATATATCAAAAAATGCAGAATTTAATTCTTTTTAAGTTAGTAAGACTAAAATACGACATTCATGACGTTTGCAAAATATCGAAGTTTGCAGATAGATGAGTCCAGAAATCGGATTTAATGACTTAAGGCAAAGTTTCTCCGAGAGCGTAGCGCTAAAATTCCCAAACACATGATTTTCAAAATTTTTCGGGCAATTTCCTCAAGTTTTCAAGTCGGATAGAATCTGTTCTTGGGTATAGCGGGAAATTTTTCGATTTTTGACGGATGCAATATGAGTCAGGTGAAAGAGTAAAAGTAGATTTTCAATGATCCTACTTTGTAAAACATTTTATTTACGTTCTCTGGAACGTGTAAACGAAATATTAGACCACAATATGAAAGTTGAAGTAAACGGAGAGAAATAGCAGAGTTTGAATCGTTTAGGAAGTTTCCGACCGGGCCTGACCGGCTGGTTAAAAATCTTGTTTGAGCCGGTGAAATATCGACCGAATTTTTCAACTGGGAAAAAAAGGGTAACACTTGAAACAAAATTCCAGTACCATTGGGAATTTTTACGCAAATATCAGTCCAGATAAGCTAGAAAGTTTGTAGTCAAACTGGAAGAAGCATTCGTTCCAGATGCTTTGTGATGATATAAGTTCCTTTTCCAGCGATGGATGGTGCCTTTCAAAGCAAGCCAAAGCTACCGCAAGGAGTTGTAACCGGTCCGGTGTAAAAGTTTAGACCGGCCAGTCTATTGCCGATCTAGAAATATTTTCGGTGATCGACCGATTTAAAATTCTTAGCATTTTTACTCTTCTTTGTTCACAAGAACTGACGTGTTCTTCAGACATTAAATTTAAGACAAATTTAACTTAATATACAATAACGTATAATTAAAATGAGAACTAACCAGACTGTTCTTCTCTTTTGCTTAGTGATTCTTTGATAGTGAAACGGAAAAGGATTGAAACCTAACGGGCTATAGGTATTACCGTCTTGTTTTCCGTATTACTATCAAAGAATGACTAAGAAAGAAAATAGTCTGGTTTGTTGTTAACTTAATTATACGTTATTGTATGTTAGGGGGTTTGTTTTAAATTTAACGTCTGAGGAACAGGTCAGTTTGAATAAACAAGTAACAGAAATACGGAAAAACTAGTGAAGATCCCTTTTTCCTTCGGATATCTTATATAAGATATTTTAATTTACTGATAAAAGCGTCTGAACCGTCCAGTTTTTTGTTGGTTTGTAAAAGTTTCTTGAAAACAGGCCGGTTTTTCACCGATCTAAAAAGATTTTTGGGCCGTTCCGGTGTGCTGTTTTGAACCGGCCGCTCCAGCCTCTTATTTTTACACCGGTTCCAACTCTGACCTACCTCCTCCAGAAGAAATGAATGACAGAAAGAATGGATGAAATCGATAGTTTCCTTTCGTTTTTTATCAATAATCATCGCTAACATTCTTGTGTATAATTCGTAAAAGTATAAGACATAAGTTAACAGAAGTAATGTAGTACATATATCAGCACTCATACATCACATATACACCATCAAGTTCATGATTCAAGTCTTGAGTTAGAAATATTAATAGAGATAGTCAGCCGTATTCGTGTATTCATAGGCAGAAAAAGGGTAAAATGTGCATTTTAGTAGTATGTGTATGATGCATAAAAATCTTTTCCTAGTAACTTTCCAATAAAAAAAATGGGAGGCCGTATCTTACTACCCTCAGATATACTTACCCACTCAGATTACTTACCCTCAGATATGTACAATAGAACCTCTATAATGTGAACACTGACAGGACCAACCCAGTATACCGTGATGGTTTCCACTTTTCATCCCAACGGTCATAGTGTATATTTTTCCGTCTTTGTAGTCCGTAGACTCAAAACCATGATTCCTTTTTTATTTTCCAGAATAAAAGATAACCTACGAATGCACTACTTATTCAAACGTTACAAAGACGCATTAAGCAAGAAGATTCAACCGGGGAAAATTATTAAATAATAAATAAATTTTAGGATTAAAATATTGAGTAGATTCCTTTCAAATTTGTCTGTAACTACCATTACTTATCAATATCATTTTTCATTTTCGTTTTATATCCTCCTATTTTGATTTGACTTTTATAATCATTGAAATGGTCTTGTTTAATCAAACTTCGTGTTCTTGTGTCAAAATCCTTGTAACGGTACCTTTATATATTTGGTTTTTGTTCAACTAAATCCCGTTGTGATATATAATATTCTGGTATATTTAAATTTGCTTTTTTTCAAAAGTTGAATTTTTGATAGAAAGTGCCGTGCACAAGAAAAGTTCTAAAGGACACTAGTGCCGACTGACTATAGCACAAAAATTTTTTTTTGAGTGTCTACCCTTACCAATCTTCTAGTGATGGCCACTGTTGTCTGTAAGGAAAATTTTTCGACGTTGAATAGCATTCGGAGACATTCCTAAGTGCTGAAAATGCATCATCAGCGACCAAAAAGTTCCTAAGATACCGTCGGTTTTCAAAATATTTTTATAGTTTTATCTTAGGAGAGCTTACTCTGTATAGCCTCAAAATTTCATATTGAACTCGCAACTGTTTTTATAAAATGGTAAGAATACGATGGAAGAACCTTCGAGATATTAATCACGATAGAGACGACGATAGAGAACGGCTGTTTATTTATTAATGTATTTATATTCAGTGTACTCTACATTATTTTTACACTTTATTTTAGTTCAAAATGAATAACAAAATGAAAACTCTTATTTTAATTCAATTAATTGGCAGTATTTATTATGTTTTGGGTTGTGATAGTGATATTAGTAATAATAAACAACAAATTGATGTTGTACAAGTCGAACAAACATCAACAAGCGTATTGAATAAAAGAGCAACTGATCTACAGAATTTGGTAAATAGTGATTCAATTGGTCGTGGTTATAATCCATTTCATGGTAGTCCAATTTGTTTTACGAAAGAATGTGAAACGGTTAGTTTTGGTGCGGCAATATTTGAATTGGATTTAGAAAAGGAACCCGCACATGCTAGATGTGCTCCAACAACAAAATTAATACCAAAAAATACTGAATTTCAATGTCAAACATCAACTGATCATAGTTCTCATGTTAATATTATCCATTCACTAGATGATTTGAAGAAACAAACAGAAGTGGCGTATAAACAGAGTGGTACAGCAACATTGAAGCAAATAACAGCATCATACAATGCCTCTGCGGAAATAAAATATATGGTTGATAATATTCTAACACGTAATCTTACATTTTTATCAACAAAAGTTACAGTATCCTTGGGTACATTAAAAATGCATGAAGATTATATGAAATTAACAAAAACGTTTCAGGATGCTATTATTGGTGTACCATATACTGATTCTCAGGAAACAATTGATCACTATGTTCATGAGAAAATATTTAACAAATTTGGTTTTACATATTTACATACATTGGAATTAGGTGGAATGGCAGTTGAAAATATTTTTATTTCATCAGCAAATGCTACCCATTTGGTAGGAACTGGAGTTGAATTAAGTCTTGGATCAAAAGTATCATTCGGTGAAAAGTTTGGATCGGAACAGAGTCTGCGTGTGGGATATAGTGAAACAAAAAAACAAGAATTTGCGAAACACATTAAAGAGCATTATACAAAAAATTATGGTAAGTAGTATTTAAAGGTTTATACGAAAAAGGAGCAGGAGAACGGAAAGATTGAAATCTTTACTGGTATTAGAATTTTATTATTATTGTAAAAAATATTAAAGAGAGAAATCTAATATTAGAGATAAATCTGCAGGATACGCATACCCGTAGAGCAAGAGTAGTAGAATAAAGAATTTTTTATTATAGAGTTTGAGGATAAAAGAATGAAAATGTCAATTCATTTTATAAAATTTTTGAAGGAATTTTGCTGAAAGAGCGTTGACTTTCAATTTTTTTATTTATTCTCGGTATCACTTGCGCGGGGCTTACACTAGCACACATTTCTGCAAAATATCTATTTTTTGTTAAAAGTATGAGTGGTGAAAGTTATAGAGTATGGATCGGCAATTTCTTATATGACTGGATTTTCTGAGACAGGCAATGATTGTGATACTGTCGGATCGAGCTGAACTTTTTACTATATATAGTAGATATCAAGAAGTTTCTCATAAAATTTTAGACTTGACACTCTGTGACACTGTACATGAGTTTTATGGTGACAGAAATGAGAGGTTCTTGATGCGGTGGAAAGAGCGAAATTTTCACAAGACATGTATTTTCTGCCAAATGATGGAAAGGCTGGAATTTTTTTTACTAGATTCATGGTACGTGCATCAAAATAATATGCATGAAAACATTTCCATTCCACCTTATCATCGACCTTTGAGAATGATGCACAGATCTTCGGTTATTGTTTAATGTTTTTTCCCGCAATAATAATATTGAGTCTCAATCACTTATCAATACAGAATTCGAAGAACGAAATAAGTTTTTGAGAGTCAAATCGTGAAAATGTTTTGAGAACATCTTATTTTGAAGAGAATTATTTCTATTCGTGAGAAGAAAAATCACTTTGCACCTTTCTGATTTTCAAGTAGTTTTCCACGGAAAACCAAGTGTTTTTTCTAGAAACACTTATCGATGAACTTTTGATCATATTACAAATTCAAAAAACTGATTTAGATTCGAAACATTTCACTTTCACAACTTGTTGTTGCAGGTAGAAATTGTTCAACTTTTGAAGATCCATGGTGCTCCTCCAAACTTGCGGCAATTACGAGTCAAAATATTTTATGGGAAATGCTTTACATACAGATAGCCTAGCTTTACTAGAACCTACAGTAAAAATTTCCAGCTTCTCATTTCGGAAAACATGTATTTTCTCTCAAAGTCTCACTTTGTTTATATTTTTTTGGTGGCATCACTTGCGGCATCTATAACTCATGAAGAAAAGCACGCTACATTCTAAAAATTTTATCATAAACTGTCCGTCGTAGAAAATTCTCGTATCGAATCCTATTACAGTCGGTACCTGACTAACACTGCCGGATCTGTCAGACAATAGCTGTTAATAATACTGTTGTGCTGTCTGTGATTCTCTAGAATAAGGAAATCATTCTTTGAATAAAAATTTTCATATCATCTCTATCTGTCTGTCTTTTAAGGTGGTACTACTGGAATTCTTACGCTTGAAGAGTGGTCTAAAAGTGTTATAAACAATCCAGTGGTTATTAAGTTTACTTTAAATGATATTTTTGATCTTTTAACTAAGAATCGTTTTCCAAATGATTCAAACTTAGATGCGAAAAAAAAAGCAATTCGAGAATCATTAGATAGATACCTTAGCAAACCAACAATTTGTTTGGGAAAATGTTTAGTACATGGTAAATGTGTTGTTAAAGATCATTTTAATGTTGGAGAATGCCAGTGTGACAAAGGATGGTCAGGATATGATTGTTCTTTTGCGGGAAAAACAATCGCCGCTGGAACATTGTGTGGATTTAATGACCATGTTCCATGTGGAGTTATCGGTGCCGGTTTGGGTGTAGCTGACGGAAATGTTCCAATTCATGGATGTCCTACGGGTTATTCCATAAATGACTATTGGATGTATAAAACATATTTTATATGTACAAAAGGAGCGACGGATGTTGTTAAGGGTAAACCCGGTACATTATGTGGCTTTAGCTTGTATGATTTTGTAATTCCTTGTAATGGAATGGATCCAGGTAGAGAGCCATGTCCAAACGGATATTATAAATCTAAACATGGTCCCTCGGGCGAGCAGTTTTGTTATAAACATCAAGCAGACATTGATGATTTACCAGGTACACTTTGTGGATTTGCCTATGGTAGGGAAGGTCTAGTAAGAATTCCTGTTCGTTGTGGTGATTATGATACCCAAGAGGAAAAATGTCCACCAGGCTATAAACATCGTTCGGTTTGGATGCGATTACCTGTATACCAATGGCTATATGGTTTTTGTGTTCTTGAATAAAGTCATTTTTCTATCATTAATATCTTGTCAGTCAGATACAAATAAAAAATGTTTGAGAAAAATAAACGCTTTAAATCGAATTTTATATTGGTTCTTTCTTTCTTTCTTAGTCGCTGTTTAATTCGTTTTTTTACACACTTCTTTTTAAAAGAAAGAAGATTCATTATTTTTTGCGTTTCTTATAATTATGTAGTTGTTCTTGTTCTAACACATCGTAGCTCTTTTTACTTAATTTGGAACATATTCGTTTTTTTTCTACAAATTCCTCCTTGACAAGTTGTTGTGAAAATATGTAAAACGTTATCATCCTGTAATTTATAAAGTATTAGTCAAACTTTTTCTTCCCTCATATGTCTCAATTTCTTTTATTCATTTTGTTCTTAGAATTTTTGTTTGTTCGGTTAATATAACTTTTGTGTTTAGTGCAGTTATTTAGCGGTGCTAAATGTTATATAGATAATGGGCACTTTTAACCTTTTTTTTCTTCGCATCATTGTATCTCTTTTTTTCTTGCTGTAGTTTTTCAGCTTGTCAAAATAAAATGCAACAAAAATAGAACTGATCTTATTGATTGTTTTTCTCTTCTGAAGTAGGAAAAATGCGAATTTTTGGCTTGATGAATATATCACATGATAGGAAAGATTTTAGAAGAGTATTTTTTATCCTTTTGGCCTATTGAAAACGATAAAAGATGATAAAAAATGAAGTTTTCTATGGTTTCTCAGTTTATAATAAGACGAAAAAGTACTACTGCTACAAAACTGCTGCAGCGAGCGAATTCATTATAAGCCGATAATAATAGTTGGTAGAAAAAATAAAAAATAGAAAATAGGAAAATAAACAGCCATACGAGGAACAAAAACAGGACTAAAGCAATTTTACTTTTCACGATGTTTAGCTAAACTGGAAGTAAAAGCATTTGATAAAACTTCTGTTAATACATGATTATCAGTTGTTGCTATATCTTGTGTAATATTTGAACGTTGTGCTTGTTGTTGTTGCATATTAAATTTTGAACGTTGAGGATGATTCAAGTCTCTACAATATATATATCTTTTACATAAACAAGATAATAATAAGTAACACTAATAGAGCAAGTTGGAGTGATTAGAATAGTATTTTTTTAAATGTCCGTATTTTCGTTCTCCCTTACGAGGGAACCTCTCGAGGTGATTAAAAGCTTTTCGACTCAGACTATTTTCATCATGTAGGGAATAGTCAGCAGTGAAAAAACCCCAAGTTGGTTTGGGCCCATGCGCCTTTTTGACAGAGAATTT